CTCCTGGCCCAGGGCGGAACCGAGCTCGGCGGTGAGACGCCCCCGGGACGGGTCCGTGGATGAAAGCGGTGAAGGTGCGCTGCTCGGGGGAGCGAGCCGCTGCACGGGGTGGTTCCGCACCTCCCAGCGCGCAGCGATCGGGGGAGGCTTGGAAGGAGGCAGACTGTGCCCGGCAGTAGGGTGGATTCTCCCCTCTGTTTACATGTTATGATTAAGCTGGGGAGGCGTGAGAAGGGTGGGCTGTGAGTCTCCAGAGGTGTCGGGTAAATCAGGGCAGCCTGTGCGGATGGCTGCCTTTCACTCCTGGGCATCCTGGCTCTCGGACACTTGCCCTGCAGCAGGGGCCGCACTCGTGTAAGTGAGTAGATCTAGTGCCTCAGGGTCAGGAAAGCACCTGCAGCCCATCAGCTGCAGACGAGAAGTCTGCTGGAAATAGGCAATTTTCCATCATTGCTTCTCCAGTGTCTTGTACAAGGTCTGACTTCAAGCCATCCCTCCCCAAGGCTGTAACAAATCTGCGGCAGTCAGATACCTCAGGAAGTGCTTTATCTCCCCAGGACACTCTTCACAGCTGTGCAGAAGTAACAGATGGTAATTCTGCTGATGTTTTGCTGATCATCTCGGGAGCTGGTGGCACAGCAGCTTACGAGATGGAGAATTCTCTTTTTGTGATAGCTGGGAGAGTTGTCTGGCATGAAACCAAGCAGTGGGTAGGAGGACACTGAAACCTCAAGGGGCTTGAGAAGAGAAGGCATATGTGCTTGTCTCGCTTCTTCCAGAGGCACAGAAGCTCTTGGTGGAAGCGGTAGCACACAGAGATCTTGGGGGGAGGGGCTGAGATGGTTAAGAAGCCCACCACCTTAGCATGACCATCATGCCTGTTCCTCTTTGTTCTGCAGAACTCATGCAGTCGCAGGGGCATGAGAACGTGCAATGTTCAAACCCTGATGCAACACACATGCTCGTTCTCTCCCCCAATGGGAAGCTTTCTGAACAGTGGGCTACAGCTTCAGCTCACCGCTCTAGGACAAGGTGAGAAGCTTTCATGGGGTGGAGGTGTGGGTGGTAACAGTCAGAGAAGCTGGCCCACTTTTCCTAAAGGTAACATCCAAGAGACTGTGGTGTGTTCCTGTTGTAGAGAGGGAACTGGAATACATTCATTCCTAGCATTCAAAACTTTATCTTACTTTGTTATCCAGCAAGAAGTGCGCTGATTTTGAGGATAATACCAAGATTTGAGCTGCCTGAGATGCACATGAGACAGCTTTCTCTCAAACTTAGTAAGGATCGATAGCATATACAAGAGTAATGCAGATGACTTGCAAACCACATGTGGCTTGGGAAAGCTGTGGGTGCAAGACGCAACCACATTTGAACTTTGTTGCCTTCTGATTAAGCAGTGAGGGTAACCATCATTGAAAAATGGCACAGCAGTTTGCTGTGGGATTTTCTGTTAATTTCCCAGGGCTGAGCCTGATTATTTTCCAGCTTCCCAGGGTGCAAATCACAATGAAATCGGTTAGTGCAGCTGCAGCAGTCTAGCATAAAAGCAGGGTGACTCAACCTACAGGTGACC